CTGGAAGGTACAAAAACCGATGTTCTACCAAATGTTTCCCTAATTGACAAGTTCTTTGTTGTAACAATGGCTTCTTCTATCTTCCCAGTTGCTCCCTTCACCCACACCTTCTGCTTGGTGAGGGGGGCCACTGGGTAGGTAACGACTGATGATAATGCTTCTGTATGTAACATAAAGTCAATGTCTTGGCCCTCCACAGTGGCGTTGACCATGGGCTCCCCGGGGTCAAGGTTGAGGGTGCCCAGTCTGTCCCAGTCGTTGAGTTCAGCCCCACCATCTCTGCCAGTTGGGGCGTCCGCACCCGCGTCCTCCCTGTCCTCCTCCATGTTGCCCCTGAAATCCGGTAACTTGTGTCCTGTTTGGGCACTCCCATTTCCAATGACCCTCCTGCCTGCACCAGGGTTTCAACTCTTGCTCAGCCATAGAAACCCAGAGTGACCCTGGTCAAGTCATACTCTTTCAGCCTTGTTGTTAACTGCCCTCGATTCGGCTCCAAATCATGGAGATCCTCCGGATGAGACATCTCCAAGAACCCCTATCCTCCATTGTTCTGTTCAGGTTCTGCAAATTCAGGCTCATGACTTCCCTCGTTGAGTCTCCCCATCTGGTGTGTGGTCTACCTCTCTTTCTACTGCCCTCCACTTCTGCTAGCATAATCATCTTTCCTAGTTTTGTCATCTTCACTTCCAGGGAGTTTGGGTTTGATCTTTTCTAGAAACCATTTGTTTGCCTTGGCCATCCACGGTATCTTCATCATTCCTCTCCAGCACATCTCAAATAAGTTGATTTTCTTTCTGTCGCCTTTCTTCACTGTCAAGCTCTGGCATTCATACATGGTGATGGGGAATATAATGGCTTGGATAAGTCTGTTTAGCACACAGTTGTATATATTTACATTTTAGGATCTTATCTACCGGTAGTTCTTTCATGGTTGTTCTTCTCCCACTTAGTCTTATGACTGCAGTCTCTGTTTTGATCAATGTTTGATCCAAGGTACACAGAAACTTTATTTTGATTTCCTTATTATAAAGGTTTATTATTTGTTTATTGTATTTATACCCCCGCTCTTCAGAAATGCTGTCATCTCAGAACGGCTTACAAATTGTTAATTTGGCAGTTTCCTGTCCTCAGGCTTACAATCTAAAAAGACATGACACAAAAGGAGAAGGGAATGGCAGTGGGGAAGGGGATCAAGTCCAGCAAATACTTCCGATTCTTTTCTACTTCAAAGGCCAGGGTGGTAGATTAAGATGGAGGGAGGGGATTTAATCTTCCTCTCATCTAGGCATGGTGGAGTTGAGCCTGCCTCTTCTCTCCTTTATGTAGATCCTCCATGGTCATTATTTTTGTTTCCCTTATGTTCAGCAACACGCCTGCCTTTGTATTTTCTTCTCTCAGTCTTAGAGGCAGGTAATGGCAAACCTTTTCTGAATAATCTTGCCAAGAAAATGCTATGATTGGTTTACCATAAGGTGAAATTGACTTGAAGGCACATAATAGCAGCAATTAAGGACCTTTGCAGACTGCCAGAAATAATGCAGCTTGAGTCCACTTTAACTACCCTGGCTCAGTACTAGGGAATCATGGGAACTGTAGTTTATTGTAGCACCAGAGCTCTCTGATAGAGAAGGTTCAATGTCTCAGGGGGAAAAAAAATACAATTCCCATGATTCCTTAGCACTGAGCCAGGGCAGTTAAGGTGGACTCAAGCTGCATTATTTCTGGCAGTCTGTAAAGGCCCTAAGTTTAATTTAAGGAATGTTACTCTTAACAGTAGTCTTCCAGGGTGTTTAACAGTACTCTGCTCTATTAGTAGTCTTCCATAGGTTACAGACCTATCCAGCACCTGGTCTTTGTAACTGGCAATACCAGGAACTGCGCTGGAGATTGTCTTACTTCAAAGAACCACCAACTTATGGCTCATTTTAGATCCTCCTGGTATGTGGTAGCCTTTTCTAGAATGAGGTGGCTTGCACTTACATTTACAAGTGAAAATTCTTTAAGACCAGAAATGAATCATATTTCAGAATGCAACTGATGATGAATACAATTCTATATTTTCTCTTGAATAAGTCCTATTGCAGTCAATGTGACTCATGTTTCAGTAGAGATGCATACGACTGCACTGTTTCAGTTTAAAATACAGCTCCAGAAAGTCCAAAAGATTTCACACAGGAGTAAACAGCATACTCTCATTGTCTGCATGTATTCCAATATTATAAGTATACTTTATTTTTTGACCCCTTTTCTCACTAGTATCAGCAAGGCATTACTTTCAAATATATTTTTAGAAGAGATAAAGGAAACAAAGCCAATACAGTGGTACCTCTACTTACGAATGCTTCTACTAACGAA